GGGAGAACCAGCTGCTGCAGGAAAGGGTTAAGCCGATGTCTTTTCCCACTGGAGTCCTCCAGCAAGCCTCATTCCCCCACCCCACCCCACCCCCAACACATACACACAATCATTCTTTCAGCCAACACACATTCAGGAGCAAGAGATCGTGTCTACATCTGTCCAAAACCAGAAACAATTTTCACACCAATGCTCCCTCTAAGCTGTGGAGTCTTGGAAAGGGTTAAGCCGATGTCTTTTTCCACTGGAGTCCTCCAGCAAGCCTCATTTCCCCCCCACCCCCAACACATACACACGATCATCCTTTCAGCAAGCACACATTCAGGAGCAAGAGATCACGTCTACATCTGTCCAAAACCAGAAGCAATTTTCACATGGGGTGCTACCCGCCCTCCCCCCCCCAGTCTCCATGACCTTCAAACCATCAAGTCGCTGGTGCATCGCTGTAAGGAGCCTGTGGAGGAAATAGCTTCAGATGACTCGAGCAAGTGAGTCAAGCTGCATGCAACTAGAGAGAGGTCCTCACACTCCACCGCAAAATGACAGCACAGAACGGCGACACTTCCTGTAGAAGCCTTCTAACGCCAGAGTCTGCAACCCAGAACAACTTCCAAGAGGTTTTGAGTTCTGTGTCACACGCCCGAACCCCACGGAAGGAAACACCGGGAGGAGACTCACCTGTTTGCTGGAGTGGACGTGGGTTTTGTTCCTGTGGCTGTCCAAGAAGCCTCCGCATTTGCCCAGGGCGGCCAAGTCCTTCATAATAGAGTTGAGTGCTTCTTCTTCGTCTGGAAAAGGAAAAAGTTTTTAATAAATTGACTACTGCCTTCTTTTTCTGGCTGCATGCAACAGCATCTGTAAAGCTGGGATCTCCAACCTTTTTGAGCCTGTCAACACCACTGGAATTCTGACACACGGCAGTGAGAACGACTACAAAATGGAAGGAGGAGGAGGAGGAGGAGGAAGAGATTGGATTGATACCCTGCCCACTACCCAAAGGAGTCTGAAAGCAGCTTACAATCTCCTTTCCCTTCCCCTCCCCACAACAGACACCCTGGGAGGTCGGCGGGGCTGAGAGAGCTCTTTCGAGGACTGCTCCTGAGAGAACAGCTTTGAAAGAACTTGTGACTGGCCCAAGGTCACACCAGCGGCTGCATGTGGAGGAGTGGGGACTAGAAAAAGAGACAACCAAGGGGGCGGGGGGCAAAGTTATGACACTCTGAGTCGAGAAAAGTGGATAAAGAACTTCTTCTACAGTACTAGAACTCACGCACATACAACAGTGCCATAGAGAGGAGAGAGAGAAAGTGGGGTATAAAATCAATCGATCGATCAATTGATCAATAAAATTTGTCATTTAAAGGGCTATTAACTTGTGGGGTTCGTAGCCAAAGGATGTAGTGACAATGTTCCCTCTAAACTGTGGAGTCTTGTGAGCAAAAATTGTACTTTGTGAGCTACTGGCATGAAAGCTGTGAGCGAGCGATTGGGCCCCTGCATAGATCAGTTTGCTCTGGAGCCCTCCTTCCTGAGCTGAGACAAAAAGGTGTGGGCCGGAGGCTAAAAAACTGTGAGCTAGCTCACGCCGACTCAGCTTAGAGGGAACACTGGTGACAACCTCTAGGTTTAGCTGGTTTTAAAAGTAGATTAGACCCATTCAGGATGGGCTTATCACGGGCTAATAGCCACAGTGACGAAATGAAATCTCCATGCTCAGATGCAGTAACTATCTGAATACCAGTGCACGGCTGAGGGAGCAACCAGACCTGTGCACGCGCACCCCGGTGCTAGGGTTGCCAACTTTGGGTGGGGAAATACCTGGAGATTTTGGGAGTGGAACCTGGAGAAGGCAGGGTCTGAGGAAGGGAGGGACCTCAGCCATAGAGTCCACCGTCCAAAGCATCCATTTTCTCCAGGGGAACGGGTGCCTGTCGTCTGGAGATCAGTGGTTATAGGGGGAGATCTCCGGGCCCCCACCTGGAGACTGGCCACCTTGCCTAGTGGCCTGCTTTGGGGAGGAGGGGATCTATTTGTCCACTGTGTGAGACAGGATGCTGAACTAGATGGACCACTGCTTTGATCCTGCGGAGTTATGTTCATTTTCTCCCGATGGGGGACGGGGGAGAAGAGCTTTGGCTGGTATGAAGCAGGAGGTGAATGACTCCAGGCCAGGGGTCATTTCCTGCAGGAGCGCACAGGAGCGGAGCTCCAGCAGTAAAGAACCCAGGGGGCAGGCACATGCAACAAGCCCCGCCCCCCTGCTCCCAGCAGCCCTCAGTCAGAGCAAGAAGCAGCCAGGTAAGCTGCAGAGCTCCCCCCGGCCCCCCGGTCCAAGACAGTCCAGTGGCACCTTTAAGGCCAAGGTTTATTCAGGTACAAGCTCTCCCTCCTCTGTGAGGGCAGAACTGCACGTTCCACCTCCCCCCCCCATACCTAGCAATCCAAAAGAGTCCAGTGGAGCCTGAGCGGTGAGTGTTGCCTTCTGACACACTTCCGGTGATGTCAGGGGGTGTGGCATATGCAAATGTGTTATGCTAATGAGCTCCTGCACCTGTTTTTCTACAAAATGACCCCTGCTCCAGGCAAACCAGGATCGTTTCCCTTCATTTACCACCATGCGGTAGTGGAATTCCGTTATTATGGGGCCGGACGGAGTCTCTGCCAGTTCCTTTACTGACCCTCCCTGGACCCAATGAGGCCAGGCTGGCTACTACCAGGGCCAGGGCCTTTTCAGTGGCGGCCCCGTCCTGGTGCAACGAGCTCCCGGAGAAGATCAGGGCCCTGCGGGATCTGTTACAGTTCCGCAGGGCCTGCAAGACGGAGCTCTTCCGCCAGGCGTTTAGTTAGGGCGCCGCCACTGCTGTAGAGTCCCAGCCCTTGGTCTTGACATCGAGCCGGCACCGCAGGAAATCACAAGCAGAACAACCTCTTGGAAGCTGACATCCATTGTGAAAGCGAGCCGTCTTGGAAAGCAACACATGTTGCCCTCCTCACGTACCTATTACATATCACCCCTTTACACATTTTATAGCCCTTTACACCACTTTACAGCAAAGGGCTGTATGAAGCAGGAGGTGAATGACTCCAGGCAAACCAGGATCGTTTCCCTTCATTTACCACCAGGGCTTTTTTTAATAGAAAAAGTCCACCAGGAACTCATTAGCATAATAGGCCACACCCAACAGCAGAAATGCATTAGCATATTAGGCCACACCCCCACATTACCAGAAGTGTGGTCATTCAGCCACACCCACCTTTTGCTTCTTATTCTGTTTACCTTGGTTGTTGTCAAAACCCAGGGCTTTTTTTGTAGCACGAAATCCTTTGCATGTTAGGCCACACACCCCTAATGTAGCCAATCCTAATGAGTTTCTGCTGTTGGGTGTGGCCTGTTATGCTAATGAGCTCCTGCTGGGTGTGGCCAACTCGGGAGCCAGCTGGGACTCCATTCCTGTGCGTTCCTGCCCAAAAACAGTCCTGTTTACCACCATGGGGGAGTGGAATTCCGTTATTATGGGGCTGGACGGAGTCTCTGCCGCTTCCTTTACTGACCCTCCCTGGCCAGAAGCAAAATTGGCACTGGGCCTGTCAGCTGCTAAGGGGTCTGCAAATCGGAAGGAAATCTCAGGTTGTCCCCCAGAAATGCAAAAAATAAAAAATTAAACAAAGGGAGCTAACAGTAAAATCCCAAACTATTTATTTATTTATTTTATTCAATTTATATCCCGCGCTCCCCACACGGCAGGCTCAGGGCAGGTTACATCAGATTTAATAAAAACCACAATAAATGAAATACAAAGGAATTGGTAAAAATACAATTAAAACACTAATAAATTACAACTATATCCTTTAGCCAGTGCAGTTGTCCTCAGAATTAAGTCTCGCAGTTCTGACCCACTGAGGGGAGACCCAAAAAAGAGGGACGGCCGTCCCTCTAGTTGAAAGCCTGGTGGAAGAGCTCCGTCTCGCAGGCCCTGCGGATCTGTAGAAGGTCCCACAGGGCCCTGATCTCGTATGGGAGCTCATTCCACCAGGTAGGGGCCAGGGCTGAAAAGGCCCTGGCCCTAGTCGAAGCGAGACGGATGTCCCTGGGGCCAGGGGCCACCAGAAGATCGGCAGATCGTAAAAACCTTCGGGGCTCATAGAGGGATCCTCATCTAAGCCCAGTGACTTCAATGGACTTTAAAAGTTGTGACTCTGCTAAAGGTGGCACTAAAAGACCTTGGTTGCAAGATATGCTCATGTGCCGATGTTGAAAAGTCCATGGACAGAGTTCAGCTAGTGCTGTGGGTTGCTGTAGTGACCACAATGCATACACTTTCAGCACAGGGCCTGGGAGCCAGAGGTGCCCAGGGGAAGGAAGCGGGGGGACCTCAGGGATGGCTAGAGGCCACAGGGTTGCCAGGCCGAGTGTGGCAAACAGCAGGAGGGTTGGAGGCGTGAACATGGGGCGTGTGTGACATCAGCTGTGCTTCTACGTCACTTCCGAGGGAAACCTGTAAATTAATATAGGACAGCTCTAGGAAGTGCCAGAAACTCTATGGTAAAAACATAGAGTTTCTGGTGATTCCTAGAGCTACACCACATCACTTTTGGGTTTGCCCCAGCTTTTACACCTTTTTCTCCATAGCAGGAATCCTGGCAGCCCTACCACTAGGAATGGGGAGAAAACCGCGATTGGGGATGTGGTGTCGAGTAGGAAGGCGGGTAAGTGGGTCCGTAAGGGGGAGAAATCAGATTTTCCCTCCCTTGAGACTCTTCACCCATCTCTCTCTTGTCAAAGAAGATATGCAAGGATACATCTGAATGCAAAGAGTGCTCTCAGATGTTGTAGATTTTCCGGGCTGTAGGGCCGTGGTCTTAGCATTGCAGGACCTGACGTTTCACCTGGCATCCTCAGAGGTATAACCCAGAAAGATGGAGTATTCTCTGTGTCAAGGTGAGAAGAAAAATGGTAGGCAGGTAATTTATGTCTACTCAGGAAGGTGGGGTAGGGCTGAGTCATTATCTTGTCGGAGTTCCCCAGGCTGTGACATGCTAATGGAGGCGCTTTCCTGAGGAGGTTCTTTTGCATATGGATTGGGTGTTGAAATTCTAATCTTATCGGTAGTGCTATTGTCAGATGTACAGCCTTTTGTGTTTTTCAGGACAGGAAACCATGCCCTATTTATTTTTAAACTCTCTTCTTTCCTGTTGAAATCGGGTTTATGTTTTTGAATTTCAATGGCTTCCCTGTATAATCCGACATGGTAATTGGATGTGTTGTCCGGCCTTTCAGTGTCTTGGAATAAGATACTGTGTCCCGTTTGAGTTAGGCTTCAACAACACAGTGTTCTCGGATACGGAGTCTGAACATTGGTTCATTGAGCCCAGTTTTATCTGCTCTGACCGGCAGCAGCTCTCCAGGGTTTCCAGCAGAGATTTACACCCCCACACCCCCAGCTGCCTTCAGTATTTGGTTAAGAGGTCAGAGTCAGAGGTTGGACCCAGGGCTCTTTATATGCACCGCATGTTGTCTGCCACTCTAGTACCTTTGCCCGAAGCGATTAAAAATCCTGCAGCAGAAGTCGAAATCAATTCTGCAACTAAAGGATATAACCAAAGAAAACAGTTTTGCAGTTACTTGCTTATTCTGTGTACTTCTGATTTTTAATTTAGGTTTGTGAGCCATTTGTTCCTCCTTTTTTCTTTTTCTTTTTTTGGCAAGGCGTGAGGAGAAAGGGAAGCAGGCAAAGATGTGGCCTTCAAGTTTAAGCAAACTGCAAAAGTGGGACTACGGAAGCGTAGC